CCTCCCGGGGGCGAGAGTCAGAGACCCACTGCAGATCTCCCTTGCAGAGGGCTTCAGACACCGGGTTGCCAGGTCGCCATCCATGTAGAGAATTTTTAACAGGATCTTGAAGGATGGAGAAAATGAGAAGAAATAGAGCTTTGGGATGGCATTCCTGCTGTTAAGGAACAAGTGGATAATGGATAATGCATAGACCAGAAAGCATCTGGCTTATTCACATGGGGCTGCAGCGTCTTGCCCTGCCGTCTGTCAGCCTGGCTTTCTTCAGGCTGGAATGAAACAGAGCTCGTAGGAGGGTGGTACAGAGCCTAGCACTTTATTAACTGGGGTGATGTCAATGTCCTTTGGATCAACCAGAGGTTTCAAGGTAAAATGCTGTAAAATGGTGGTCAGGAGTAAAAACAGCTCCATGCGAGCCAGGCCCTCTCCAGCACATGCTCTTCTTCCTAAAAAGACACATAAATTCATTATTAATTTCATTCTGAGTTAGGACACAGAGAAGTTTAAATAAATATGGAATGAAGAAATATATTAATGAATGACTAATTAACCTATGTCTTCTTCTATTTACACTCAAACCTAGATTCCTTCATTTCCTCAGCACACATTTCCATGTGTGTACTCTGAAAAAAAAAATCTCTATATGTGTGACACCAACAGGATAACTGACTGGGAAAGGACTCCTCCCCATTTCTCCCTTGTGCTTGCTCTTTCAAGCAGACTGCCACTTTGCCGTAAAAGCACAAACATTTCCTTTCCATGAATAAGACAACCAGTACAAAATCTCCAAAGCTTTTTAATCTGGAGTCCTTCTCTTCAGGAGGCTAGTGTAACATGCATATCAACAATTTTAACTTGTCCGAGAGAAATCATTGCTTCATTATTATAGAAAAAGTTATGGTGCTGGGTAGAAATTTAAGATGTTAATAAAACATGTGACATATGAAAACACGACACAAAACTATGCAAGCGAGAGAGGGGATTAAGATGACGAACTAGAGGCAGTCGAGTGAGTTTCTCCTGTCGACTAAACCGAGATAGTGATAGTTTCCTTGGCACCCAGAGAGGAGCAGGACCAGCCGCATACCCCATGACTCATCAAAAAGTTAATAAACGCCAGGCCATAGCCCCATAGTGCAAAATAGAAAAAAATCAGTTGACCTGTGTTGGATCTGGCTGCGCTCTCTCCTGGTCATGGCGCAGACCACAGGCAGCCTCCAGGCATTGGGGAAGATAAGTGAGAAGGATTCAGGAATTCTGCATTTCAACCCTGCCACACATTTGAAGGGCCCTTTGAGTCTTGTAGGGCTCCAGTCCTTTGCGGGAAACTGCCTTACCCACAGTGTAGCTCTGCTAAAAACCCAAGTGGAGTGGTGCAGGAAATAAAAGCCCTGATCAGTTCCAGCCATTATATCCCAGGAATTCAATCCTTGCTGGTTGCCACTTTCTCAGCAGGTAGCAAAGGGATAGGTTTCAAGGGCAAACTCCACAGTGGTAGATAGTTCCTGGCTGGGGCAAGGTACCTTGAGAACACCTTGAGACCCTAAGGCCAGTTGCACTCTGACGTTTTGAATGCAGTCTGCCTGAGGCTAAGGCAGGGGAGCTGGGTGGGACTCACTGCCATAGCAAACTTACTTCCAAGGTAAACTCCTTTGTGTGGCCTCAACACAGCAGCATTACCCCAGGAGCTAGGGACTCCCTCCCAATCTTCACTAGGGTAGCCAAGAGTGCACAAAAAGGGAGCTTGAGCTTTTTTTCCCTGCAACCCCTACAAAGCTCATAATATACAAAGAATTTGTGTAATCTCCACAGCCACAGTCACTGCCCAGGTTGGCTGGGCACTTCCTTGGCGCAACACAAGCCAAGCAGAAGACCACAGCCTTCATCGTACCTGGCTCTCTCCAACACCACCACCTCCTGGCTGGAGGTCAACAAGACAGGTCATAACATCTGATATAATATCTCAGTTTTGGGGAAAGACATCCCAGATGCTAACTAACTTCACTATCCAAGCCATCCTGGCCACTTAATTAAACTACAAAGCTTCTCACAGCAAAAGAAATGATCAACAGAGCACATGGGACACCTTAAGCCTGTTGTACTTAGCACAAGACTGCCACAAGCTGGCAATTGAGAAACGTACTACACCAAGGCTATATATAACCAGTGGAACCCTACAGTGCCATGTCAGCTCCCTGCCAACCTCAAATAAAAATAGCCTACACAAGTCGGATTTGGTGGCTCAGACTGTAATCCCGCGCCTTTGGGAGGTTGAGGTGAGTGGATTGCCTGAGCCCGCGGGTTCAAGACCCACCTGGGGAGCGAGACCTCATGTCTACAATAAATCAAAAACAGCCAGGTGTGGTAGCGCATGCCTGTAATTCCGGCTACTTGGAAGGCTGAGGTGGAAGGATCACTGGAGCCCCGCTTCCAGCCACTGCACTCCAGTCCAGGCGACAGAGTGAGACTCCAACTCAAAAAAAAAAAAAAAAAAAAATAAGCCTACACAAATGAGCAGCAACCAGAAAAATAATTCTGACCATATGAAAAACTGGATTCTTCAATAACTTCCCAAAGACTTTAGCAATAACTCCCCGACTCTTTAGCAATGGACCCTATTGAAATGAAGTCTTTGAAATTCCAGAGATAGAATTCAAAAGATTGATTATAAAATTGCCTACTGAGATTGAGGAAAACATTAAAAACCAACATAAGGAAATTAAAAAAAAAAAACTATGCATGACATAAATGAAAAATTCTTAAAGAGATAGAAACCTTAAAAAAAAGCTGAAATTCTGGAAATTAAAGACTCATTTAGGGAAGTACACAGTGCAGTGTAAATTTTTAGCTGTAGAGTAGAATAAGTAGAAGAAAGAATCTTAGAACCTGAAGACAAACCTTTCAAATTAACCCAGTCAGAAAACAATAAAGAAAAAAAAGATGAAAAAGAATGGAACAAACTCTATAAAAAATGTAGAATCATATAAAACATTCAAACCTAGGATTCGTTGGTGTTCGTGAGAAAAAAGAAAAACACATTAGGTTTGGAAAACCTATTTGCGGGAATAATGGAAGGAAAACTTCTCCGGCCTTGCCAAAGATTTAAACATCCAGATAACAGAAGCCAAGATACAAAAGCAGCCAAAAAGCTAAAATACTTTGGAATATTTTAAACCAAAAAGTGATAGATTTCTTCTAGGAGAATTACAAAACACTGATTAAAGACACTGTAGGCAACACACAAAAAATTTAGAGAAACAGTGCATGCTCATGGATTCAAAAAAAATAAACATTGCTAAAATTATCATATTACCCAAAGTAATCTACAGATTAAATGCAGTCCCTATAAAACTACCAGCAACATTTTTTCACAAAATTAGGAAAAACCCTAAAAATTACATGGAACCCAAAAGAACCATAGTTAAAGAAATCCTAAGCAAAAAGAACAAAGCTGGAGAATCACATTACCTGCCTTCAAATTATACTACAAGGCTGTAGTAACCAAAACAGCATAACATTGGTACAATAGCAGACATGTGAACCAATGAAATAGAATAGAGAATCCAGAAATAAATCCAAATACCTACACCCAAATTATCTTTGGCAAAATAGATAAAAATATACACTGGGGAAAGGACATACTATTCAACAAATGGTGCTGGAAAAATTGAATAGCTACACGCAGAAAAATAAAAACTTGATCCCTGTCTTTCACCTTACACAAAAATTAACTCGAGATGAATCAAAGACTTACAAGTCAGACCTGAAGCCATAAAAATCTTAGAAGAAAACCTAGGAAAGAGTTCTGGACATTCAACTCAGTAATAATTTATAACTAAAACCCCAAAGCAAATATAAGAAAAATAAAATAAGTAGGTGGGACTTAATTAAACTAGAAAACTTCTTACAGCAAAATAAATGATCAACAGAGCAAACAGGCAACCTAAAGAAGTGGAGAAGATATTTGCGAACTATATATCTGACAAAGTACTATTATCCAGAATTCACAAACTCAAACATATCACTAATCAAAAAGTAAATGAACCCATTAAAAAGTGGGTAAATGATATGACCAGATATCTCTCAACAGAAGATATACAGTTGGCCAACAAATATATGAAAAAATGCTCAACATCACTAATCATCAGGGAAATGCAAATTAAAGCTATAATGAGATACCACCTCACATCAGCTGGGCTCGGTGGCTCAGCCTGTAATCCCGGGCCTTTGTGAGGCTGAGGTGAGTGGATTGCCTGAGCCCGCGGGTTCGAGACCTGCCTGGGCAGCGAGACCTCATCTCTACAATAAATCAAAAAATCAGCCGGGCGTGGTAGCACGTGCCTGTAGTTCCGGCTACTCGGAAGGCTGAGGCAGAAGGATTGCTGGAGCCCAGCAGGTAGAGGCTGCGGTGGCCGGGAGCGGCCACTGCACTCCAGTCTGGGCAACAGAATGAGACTCCAACTCAAAACAAACAAACAAACAAAAAACAAAAAACAAACAAACAAAAATGCTGGTGCAGATTCAGTGAAAAAGGAATGCTTATACACAGTTGGTGGGAGTGTAAATTAGTAAAACCTCTATGAAAATCACTATGGAGATTTCTCAAAGAACTAAAAGAAGATCTACCCTTTAATCCAGCAATCCCACTACTAGGTATCTACCCAAAGGAACAGAGGTCATCATGTTAAAAAGACACGTGCACTTACATGTTCATTGCAGCACAATTCACAATTGGAAATATGTGAAATCAAGCTAAATGCCCATCAGCTGATCATTAGATTGTGAAAAATGTGGTATATATTCACTATGGAGTACTACTCAGCCATCAAAAATAATGAAATAATATCTTTTGAGGCAACTTGGGTAGAATTGGAAGACATCATCCTCAGTAAACTAACACAGAAACAGAAAACCAAATACTTTATGTTCTCACTTATAAGTGGGCACTAAACTAAGGATCTGTAAAGGCATAGAGAATGGTGTGATGGATACTGGAGACTCAAAAAAGGGGAGAGGGAAAATGGATGGAGGGACAGAAACAAATCACCTATCAGGTACAATATGCACACATAAGAGTGGTGGGTGGACTTAAAAGTCCAGACTTCTTTGTCACTATACAATGCAACCATGTGACCAAAACCTCTTTGTACCCACTAAATCTTAGGAAATTAAAAAAAAAAATTCTACACATATACTATAAAGAACACACAGGTGCAAACTAAATGATGGGGCTAGCAGGGGATGACTGTAAGATATCTATTATTTAACTCCAGAATAAACTCAACAATATAAATGTTTTCTTAGCATCAAAAAAAAAAAAAAAATTATGCAAGTGCGACCCACAGACTACCCTGAACATGTGATGTTACCACCTAAAATAAAACCAGAAAAAAAATAGAAGTCCAAGATAACTTGCTTTCAGAGTGCCTGCAAAATACTTCTTTCTGGTATTGTCTCCTTTACTACTGAAGCTGGAAGTCCCAATAAGCAGGCTTACTCAAGTATGTCAGACCCTAGGTTTATTTCTACTTGCTGAGGGTCAAGGTCCCATACCAGTAACATGTGTACATTAGAACTGCTGTTCTGAGGTTTGCCAGTGATATCTTTCTACACACACACACACACACACACACACACACACACACCCCTATCACAACTGGTGTAACACACAACCCAAAAGCATCTTCTTCATCTATTTCTGACCCGGTACTCAACAATGCATTTATTTCTCCTCATCTGGATTCTAAAGGATAAATATAACCTTGTCAAATACATGCTTAAAACATTTATGAGCTTATCATTGCCAGGTATAAAAAGAAATGTCACATACCGCCCATGAGCAATTCTTAGAGTTCATTTCTTTTAATTTCTTCAACCTGGTTTTCCAAAGCTCAGCCAGTACTAACTAGTCACCACTCCCCAGGCAGACTGGCAATTTCGAGTTTTATCTCAGGTTCTAGGTATCCTTCTATCTGGAATGGCTTCCTCTCTGCTCTGTGTGTGCATACTCCACTTATCCTTCCAGATTCAGCTCAGACATCATTTATTCAATGCAAACTTCTTTGACATACTCAGAAAATACAATATAGTCTCCTATCTGTTTTCTACAACACTCATTCATGCTGCTAATACAGTACATGAAATTTCAACTATTTATCTCATAGACTAAAATATAAACTATTAAGTAAGCTCTGTTGTAACACCCACATTGTCAGCAGTCAAGCAGGCCCACAAGCAATGTAAAATGAATAGAAATCTCGAGCAGGTCATTGTGCAACAATGGACTCCAAAATTCAGGAAGGAAAGATAAGGTGTATTATACCAGTGACTTCTTTTGAGGCCATCCCTGGGCATTGCACATAATCTGGGACTACAGCACCAAGGGTCCCTTGACGCTTATTATCTTAGATATCAATCAGAAGCAAATCTCTTACTTGTATCTCTGTTTCAGTTACTTCTGGAGGAAGGGTTTTTACCCTCTAATCTTCCTCCTGCTTCTTTGGAGGGTGCTGAATATTCCTCCATTTCTTCTTTTTTTCAAGATACATTCTGTGTTTGTCTCTTGGGCCTGTCTGTTTCCAGGAAACTGACTTGGATGAACTGCATGAACTCAGGAGTTAGTTGCTTTCTGGGCTCTGAATATATTCAGAAGCTGAGATATTGAAATGGTAAGAGAATTTGTCTATCTCCCCCATTCCAGGTCCCAGTTTTGACAGAGGCTATATTCCTCTACATAGAGATGCTTCTGCTTTTGAGGCATCCACTCTCTCTTGGCTAAAGTTTATTCAGGTTTTGTCACCATCCACCCTCCCCTGTTTTTTTTTTTTTTTTTTTTTAACTTAGAATGGAACATCTTCCTGCTGATATTAGTCCTGAGTATTTTTCCATGCTTTGTTACTTCCCATGTCCTGCTCATTTCTCTAAAAACAGGCTCTTCATTAAACTCTTTAATTAAATTTTTTTTGTGTGTGCTACCTGTTTCTTTCCAGGACCCTTAAAAATGGAGGAAATATACTCAAATTTTACTTTCTTCAAAAATTCTCCCTTACCCTCTTACTACTCTGCTCCTGCTCCATCAAAAGGACCACAGTCAGGGTCTCCTGTCTCTGGGCTTTCACAGAAGCCACAAGCATAACATTTGTCACACTGGAATCTTATTACCTGTGAGTTTGACTTTTTCTCTCTTAGAGGCAAAATATATTTCTTATTCGCATTTGTTTGCCTGGGTCTGAGTATTGGATTGCTATCTAAAAGGTGCTCTGTGAAATTTTTTGCGTGAACTGGCTTCTCATGGTAAATAAGAAAAATCTTATTAGTGCTGGACTTCTAGGGGGAGATGTAGAGAACATAGTGGTGGACGAGGATACAGAATTAATGAATGTAACCTCCAGTCCAACCTGGACTGAGAAACAACCTGGACCTTTGGCGTGGTGCCTCTGGCCTCCTATAAATGGCAATTTGTCCAGCCCAGAGTGGCCTCCTTGCAAAGTTTTTCCCTATTTTACTTAACTTTTGAAAAGGATTTTAAAAAGAAATCTTGCTTGCCTGCTGAAAAGGGCATGAAGTAGTCACTCTTCTTAAAGTTGCCACTTTTATCCAGGAAGTGGCCAGGGTCAAACTTCTCTGGGTTGGGGAATTCTTTGTCATCATGCAGGACAGAAGTCAGACTTGTTAATATGGTTGTGCCCTGATAGAAAGAGAAGCACAAAAACGGATGATAAAAGAGTTCACATAGCTTGAAAGAAAATAGAAATCAAATCCTATTTTTATAGATGAAGAAATTGAAACACACAAAAAAATGAAATTTATTTGCCTTTTGTTGCAGAACAAATAATCGGCCAAGCATAGCAGGTCTTACATCATATAATACCTAGTCCAGGACACTATTCACTGATGCAAAGACATCCTCAACAGCGTGTACACTGACACCGGAACTTTGCAAAAAATTGAGAAAACTCCCTAGAGCACATTGCTTTTGACAAATAAATTGCAGTATTGTTTAACAGTATTGATGTCACTGAAAATTCAGCTTGCTCCTATTGAGTCAAGTAGAACGACTTCTGGAAAACACCTTTTTCCTTATTCTTAAAAGATCTTCAATTTCCCATGGAGATAAGAAACTCATAAATATTGTTCCCCCTGCTATGTTCTTTCAATTGCATTTTCATATATTCTTGTGGAAAGAAGGGTATTTCCTATTTCCAGTATGTTTTTCCTAAACTCAGAGATATAATGTAAGAATGAGATAAGAGTTTAGTCTTCAGAATCAGTCAAGTCTTTTTCTCCATCAGATTAAGATCCATGACCATAGGTAAGCTGGTTAACATTTCAATGCTTCATTTTTATCACTAGTAAAATGTAAACAACATATCTGCATTAGTTTACTATACATGCAAAATAAGATTGTATGTGAAATATTTTTACAAAAACATTGCCAGATGTTAAAATGCTCAATATAGACAGATTCTGTTACTGTTATAATGATAATTATTGCATTTACAATACTTTGGGGTCTTAATAAATGTCAGACTGTTGCTATGTAGTAAAGACCAGACTGTTGCTATGTAGTAAAGACAAATTTCTTTTTTTTCCCAGTAACATAGTTATTTATTGCAATTATCAAGTATTATGTGCTATATGTAACTATATGTGCTATACTTTTATATGACTAGCAGTGCAGTACCTTTGTTTATACCAGCGTTACCACAGACACATGAGTAATGCATTGTGTTACATTAGGACAGCTAGGACATTACTAGGGGTTATACGTTTTTCATCTCTGTTATAATCTTACGGTACCACTGTCCTATATGAGGTTCCTTGTTGACCAAAATGACATTATGCAGCCCATGACTATATTACTCTCTGTGAACTACATGTTTGGTGCTTGTGATACATGTGGATACATGTGTTGTTTGTGATACATGTGGATTTACAGCTACTGTCTTTTCTCCTTCATAGATATATCTCCCTCCCATTCTGTCTTGCCATCTTTTGAATTAAGAGTCTGTTTATAAAGACAAATTTCAAATCCAGATATGTCTAAATATGCTTTCTGGTATATTATATGGTCTCTCCCAACATATGAAGTAGTTCTTGTTACACAAAATCCATACATCAAAGGCATAAACTATCACATCCATGTGAACAAATGAAAGGGGAACTGAAGCTTCAAATCACTCCTGACCTTCTTCCTTGCAACACAGCTACTCTTGTAATTCATTTCCTCACCTGGCAGAATGTACATCATGTACTGAGCTTGAAGTTTGGGAAGATAGCACAGTCAATCCCAAACAAGTTTCCGTATAAAGTTATTTTGTGACAAGACACTTCTCCTGGCTATTGGGACCATTTGCTTCTTGTTATGATGGAGAAACTGCTTTGAAAAGGTAATCAGAAAAAAAAAAAAATTGAAAAAGTATATGAAATAACACTTTTCCATTGTTAAACAAGAGGAAATCCAGGATTATGATACTTCACTAAAGAGAAATTATGTCTACAATCACTATGGATTTCTGCTTGAGAACAATTTCCTCCCATAGTGCAGAGCAGTGAAGGCCAAGAAAAGTAGTATTCTCTTTGAGCTAGGAAGATAGAGATCAAAATTTGGTATCTAGAATTTGTAATGAAGACTATAGGACAGGAGGAATCTATAAATAAGGAAGATCTTAAAAGTGTACAAGCCTATTCTCGGTAAATCCATGGCTGTAAGTTGGGTGGCACTGCATGTGCAGTAGGAAGCTCCATGAAACCTATAAAAGAATGACTGCTGGAGAGCCAAAAACTGGAGATAAATACCAGATGCTGTGTGATAATAGGAGGGGCAAAATTCCAACCCAACCAGGACAGGGTAAACTTTTTTGGAACTCTAAATATTCTGTGATGAAGCCCAAACTCCAAACTGTTGGAATAAAGAACCCACCTGGGTAAAGGCCATGCTGAATGACCAAATTTAAAATTGAGATTAAGTCACAATGACAAATAATTTTACTAAACCTTACAGAATGAACACATTGGGCACTAATTTATCTGCCTGATTAAATGAAAGTCAGCATCCTTTCAAGGGAGGCAGTATAATTCAGTCTCAAGGCATATTTCAAAATACTCAGTGTATAATAAAAGTTACTAAAAAGAAGGGAATGTGATCTGTATTAAAGAAAAAAATACCAATCAATAGAAACACACCCGTGAAATACTAGATGACATAATCCTTGAAAAAGGATTTCAAGGTAGATCTATATATCCAAGAATATATCCAAATATTTAAAGGAACAATTTTAAGGAAATATATGGGAAATATCTATGTAAAAAACCAGATATTATGAATGTATTCCAACTGCTATAAAGAAACAATGGTAAAGGAATGAATGTGTAAAATCATCAGATAAAACTATAAAAATAGAAATTCTAGAGGGGATCTAAGATGGCTACTGGTGAGTAGACAACTTGTGTCTCTCTTGCTGAATGAACAGAGAAGATAGACCCAGCTGCTGATAAACTCAGGCAGTATGAGTTGTTTTGGTTGGAAAAAGCACCCTGCATCCTGCCGAGGACTCTTGGAACACACAAGGTCAAGGATAAGAGAATCTGGGAAGCCAACCTTGGAACCATGGGGATGGGCATCACCACCATGTGCCTGGCTTGCATAGAATCTGCAGCCCTACTTTGTGAGAGGGGGTGAGTGCTCTTGACATGGTCTGGGTTGGTTCCCATCCTTCCAGCTGCCCATGAGTCATTTGTCCCATGCAGCAGGAGACCTGGTTATGGCACAGCAGCATGCTGCAAGAGTGTGGAGCTGGTAACCCATTCACACACTGGATGCCTGCTGCCAGCCACACCCAAGAAGATGTTCCCTGCTTGCAGTGCCCAGTGGCCAGCACCCAGGTGAAAAAAGCTCACTTGCCAGGTGTCCTCACTCAGTTTCCACCACCAGTGTCTAGTGGCCAGCCTCCCCTTCCAGACCAGAAAAGTTTTCCTGCCAGCATCATGCACCCAAAGTGTGATTTCCTCCATGACAGAGAATCTGCTGTCTTTTAAGTGCTGAGCATAGCCTCTGACATGGAGGGTTGTAAAAGGCACCTGGAGACCCCGTTTCTCAGGAAAGATGTTTCCTGAAACCACGGCAGTGTTCCCAACTGCCAGGGGGCCCATTCCCCCACCTGATCCCCACACAGAGTTTACAAAGGGGATTGGAAGGCTGTCTGGTCAGTCCAGCCAAAGGAAAAACTCTGCAATAGAAAGTCACTTTGAGTTCTGAGCACTGCCCATCAAGAGTGGTGGAGCAGTAGTAAAAGCCCCCTTCTCTCCCTGTGTGAACTATTTTGAATGGCAGAAAAAGTCCTAGGGAAGCAAACCATTCATAGCTACAAAAGAACAAAGGTGAGTGGATTGCCCGAGCCTGCAGGTTCGAGACCTGCCTGGGTGGCGAGACCTCATCTCTACAATAAATCAAAAAATCAGTTGGGCATGGTAACGCATGCCTGTAATTCCTGCTACTTGGAAGGCTGAGGTGGAAGGATCACCGGAGCCCAGCAGGTCGAGGCTGTGGTGGCCAGGAGCGGCCACTGCACTCCAGTCTGGGCGACAGAGTGAGACTCTAACTGAAAAAAAAAAAAAAAAAAAAAGGAAGAAGAGAAGTGCTGCTTTTCACATAAGAGAACTAGAAGAAAAACACCAGCAATCCTCAGAGCCTTAAAGAGGACTCATCTTAAAGAGGGCACCGTCCCATCCCCAAACAATGGAAGCCACTCAGAATGACCTGTCCCTGATGACAGACATAGAATTCAGACACTGGATAAGAAGAATATTCAAAGAATAGCAAAGGAGTTGGCAAATATCACCCAAGCCATGCAGTAAATAAAGTTAAGATGGCCAATATCAGAAAGCTCCATTCTGATATCCTGGAAATGAAGAATTCTTTCCTGGAATTTTAAAGCACAATAAGCCTAGGGAGGAAAATTGATCAGGCAGGGGAAAGAATCTTAGAGCTTGGCGATCAAAATATTGATCTTACCCAGTCAGGAGAAAAAGGCTCAGAAAAAACGAGCAAAACCTATGAGAGTTGTAGAACTATACTGGGAAATCAAATTTATGGCTCATTAGTATCCCCCAGACAGAAGGAGAAACTGAGAACACCCTGAAACAAGCCTTCCATGAGGTCATCCAAGAAAATATTCCCATATCTTCCTTGAGAGGCAACCATCCAAATGCAAGAGATTCAGAGTACCCCTGCAAGGTGTTACATGAGATGACACATAGTAATCCATCTCCACAAGTTAAGCATGAAAGAAACAATTCTAAAGGCAGTTAGAGAGAAGGGTCAGACCACCTACTGGGGAAGACTCATCAGAATTGTAGCACTTCTCAGGAGAAACCCTATAAGCCAGAAGGGACAGGAGTCCCATCATTTTTTTTTTTGAGTTGGAGTCTCACTCTGTCACCCAGACTGGAGTGCAGTGGCCGCTCCTGGCCCCCGCAGCCTCCACCTGCTGGGCTCCGGTGTTCCTTCTGCCTCAGCCCTCCAGGTAGCTGAAACTACAGGGGGGTGCTACCATGCCCGGCTATGGAGTCCTATCTTTAATGTTCTCAAAGACAAGCAATTACAGGCAAGAAATTCCTACCACATCAAGAAAAACTTCATCATTGATAGAGAATTAAAATTCTTCCCAGACTTCCAATCCAAGGGGA